AGTCACCAGCGCATTACAACACATCGACTGATTTCATTTTGAGTTCGCTTTTTTACTTATTTGATATTTTATTTTTTGTATCGAAGTAAATCGTTACTCTTTAGTTAGAGATGACTAAACCAAAGTATCTTAAATTGCTGAGATTGAGTCCACATTATTCGACCATTCTACACGGAGAGAAATGTTCAGTAAAAATTACGGAACTCACAATTCGCCGATTACGGAATTGACTCAGAAAATTTGACTGACGGTAGCGTAATTTTTCACCGAAGATTCAGATAAAAATTACGGAACGCTCTGGAAAAATTCCGCGACCAGTTCCGTAAAATTTCCTACAGCCACATTTCACTTCGGAATAACGGAAAAGATACGTAATTTTTATTGAATATTTCTCTCCGTGTCGTACTTGACAGAATTTTTTTTTAAATTTTGTTTTATTGTAGCTTCCAAACCTTCAGAGAGGTTCATTCAGCAAAAGAAAAAGAAGAAAATATATACATACGTATACATACAAGAATTTCTATATCATAGCTGCTTATTTTAGCAGAAAATTCAAATTAAAAAAATCATTCTCGATTAAATATGAAGAAGACACATATTTCCACCACCATATATAACCCCTGAACATAACGAGGGGTTGTTAGATAACACCTGGTGTTCCATAACACCTGTGCATTTTAGATAACGTGATAGAGTCCTCCTGGCGCGTCCACTTCAACAGTCATCGCGGTAAAATATCCCTCAGCAATAAAAACGCGAGAGATAATTCTCGAAGGGAAAATTCATTTTGCCCCGTTGAATAATCGAAAAATAGAGCCAGGGGGGAAGGTGTGAAGTCTCGATCCAGGGGTTGAGAATAATCGGCTCGGACGTTGGTATGACAATGTCCGTGAAAATTAGCGGTCCGTACGCTGCACCCAGTGTATCTCTTTCGAGAGGGTGGGGTGCCCATGAAATTTCTGTGTGGTCCCTTTTTTTTTCATCCTGGGGGGAGCCAGTGGGATGAGGCGCGAGAGAACAACAGTCGACACTTGTGCTGATCCTCGCAGCTGGAGTGACACACAAATAAAGTATTAATTCTCCATCTATTGCGGGGAATGCGACCGTGTCGGTGGAAGGAGTTACGAGAGGTGGGATGGGGGCACTTCTGGGGGAATGAGAGCATTAAACAAAATTAGCATCATTTTTTAAAAACAGTCTCACGTCCACATGATTTTTCCCACATTTTTAAAGTTAAAGTTTTTGCAAAATGATGATGATGAAATTGTGATCAAAATTTGGAAGAATCAAATGATCAAAAGATCAAATGATTTCGAAAATATTGTTAAATGAAAGGGGCGCGATTTAGGGGAGGGTGGGGTAAAATGGACACTTCTGACTTTTTTTGAAATATTCACGACGTCTTGAATTGTTCATGAAATGGAATCATTTTATTTTTCAATAGAAAGAACAATGATTCATCTTTGTGATGAGCTCAGCCTGAGCTCAATTGATAAATCTGTTTCTGAGTTACAAATATTGTATTCAATTAAAGAAGACGGGACACAACAAATAAAATGGTTGGGGCGGTTTATTTAATAGATGATGGAGAGTAACACAGGATGAAGATGTCTTGAGATCGATCTCCAAAGATAAAAACGAAGCTTGATGTTGATAAAATTACTGTCGTTCCTAGGAGCTTCTCTCGATCTCCAGATCATTGACAAAAGAGAAGGGATTCGAAGGGGGATGATTAAAAAAAAATTTAAAAAAAAATTTTTTTTTAATTTTTTTTTTTTAATTCAAAAGTGTTTATTTTACCCCGTCGTGCCCTATTAAAACAACTTTATTGCGAAAACTAGGGGTGAAAGTGCGGTGAAGTCTCCACTATGGCTCACTCTAGACATGAAAAATTCCCAGGGAGAATTTCCCCCAATTTATCCAAATTCCTAGAATAACTCCATCGTTCTCACCCAGAAAATTAAAACCTAATCTCCAAAACTTTCTTATCGTAAACATTTCGTCTTCACCATAAACCGCGTACCAAATACTCCCCTGGGTTTATCATTATTACCTCCACAAAAGAAAATAATAAAAAGAATATATTCCAACTAAATCTTCCTTTCCCCCAGAAACCTAATTTGCAGCCACAGGTTTTCATAGTTTCCATTGTCGAAATATTGATATCTCAATAAAAACAATTGAAATACAATTTTTCAAAGGGAAAAGAGATTTTAGTCTGACTATACAAAATGAAGAAGAGATAAAAGAACAAATACACAACAATATTATTTTGACTGTCCGACCTTTTTAATAAGAGTTTCATTGTCTGTTTACTCTGACAGGATTTTCCACTGCAGGAAAACTCTAGACAAATGACTCAAACAATTCGTGAAATATTCATCCCCAGAAATTGTTATGAATAGAACTGAGAACGTCGAAGTACTATAGTCGAGCTATGGACACCCTAGATATTGTTCTTCGCGTGAGAACTAAATGTGGAAAATCCGAGAAACTTCTCGAAGAAAAAAAAACATCAAAATGCCGATTTTTCACCTGAATCCCACCCTCCTCAATTCGACTGTTTGATTAATAATTTTCCCTTCACCGATTGTTCACATAAATTGTAGTTTCATTAGAGTGAAAATTGCCGCGAATATGAAAACACCCGACATACATTTGGCTTTGACCTGTGAGGGAAGCCCATGGGGCGTACGAGTGGGTGGAAAAATAGGGAGGGTATAACACCGGGGTTTAAGGGTATTTATATATAACGAAACGATCGCTACGCGTGGGAAGCACAACAGCCGTTGGTACGCCATTACGCTTCTCTCATTCCCTCCTCTCTCACCCACCCTCTGGCTTGTCTATCTCATTCGGGGTAGTGTAACGTCGCGACGCTCGCCAATATCGACGTACCCGCCCATTTGTACCAGAGTCGCGCAGACCCGAGAGGTTTTGGTACCCCTTGGACGCACGCAACTGCACCAGCCATCTTGATTTTCCCAGGGATTGTGTTTATAATCGTCTTCGGGAGGACTCTTCATTCTTTGTGTGATGATTTTTCTTTTGCCTCAACAAATACTCGAGAAAACCTCAACCCAAAATTATCGATATCCGAAACATGGCATATCATTACCTTCGTTCTCGTGCACTGAGAGAAAAATCTGAAGTTGAATTTACAATAAGAAAATGGTTGAGGCATTTTGGTGAACGATACGATTTTTTTGCGGCACATAACATTATAGTAACTTCACAAGCGCAATTCTTGAAAATCAAAATGCAGTTAAACTAACCAAAGTTCAAAAGTAACCACGACAGATCTATCGTGAGGAGAACTATAAAATAGTTGCAATGACTACATTCCATTGTAGTAATCACTTCTCCGGCCATAGTTACCGTAACGCATGCAAAATTGTTGAGGACTTTTTGACTATAATTCGATGGTGATTGAATATAGTCAGAAGAATCATATTTTTCGCCCTTTGTTGTCTGGGAATTTATAAATTTTGGAGGGGATTTTTCACATCCAAATTTCTACTCAACCGTTTCATTTCTTACTAATTGATTGTTCGGCCATAATACGACTGCTTTTTCATTCATCATTTCGCCGTCGTAGAGCCAAAGAGGCGTAACAGCTATCTTTGTGAACACCACTTACGTCCCTTTAGCTATATGATGACGACTTGTTTTTGAATCCGCTCGGATTATCATCGTCGATTTTATTGACAAACTAGGCAATCATGCGCGCTGTCACGGACCTTCAAGTGAGCGCTGTAATGCACAATAACATCCTCGTATACTAAAAAAAAAATTTAACTGAATTTTACAGAAAATGACACTGAATTCAATTTAATGGAAAAAAGTCTATGAAACTTCAAGTTTCCCCAAAAATTCAAGGGAATTCCTGATTTTTCTGTGGAAGAACCATGAAGATTCCGAAATTTCCATGAATTTTCAATGTAAACATGACAATTTAATGAGAAATTGCTCTGAAATTTCAAAAAATTGAAAATTCAAGGACATTTTTGTTTGAATTTTCCTAATTTCCATTAATTTTCATGGAATAATTTAACTGAAATTTAAAATTTCCATGAATTTTCCACGAAAACCACGAATTTTCAATGGTAAAATTCCCTGAAATTTCAATGAAACCGTCACTTGTCACTTGTCCGTCACTTGTTTCATATTTCAAGACTAAAGCCTGCAAACTTCAGTGAAAATTTTTTAACAGTGTAGTCATGGAAATCATTGATTGATCCATCAACCAATCGCAAGGCGAATAAAAAGTTAACAATCAAAACAATCATTCATTGTCAATCAACTTTATGAAAAAGGGTGAGTGAATGATGCTTCATCCTACATTTACATCAGTACCCATTACAACTCCCAGGGGTTGTGTTTAACACTTAAGTGATCGAGGCTCTCCACTGAACGTAGTTGGTCGCACGGTAAGAGAATCCCCGCCCCATGTATTCTACGATTTCGAGAAAAAAAAGTTGAACAAAAAAAATTTGTTCCACGTTTACAGGTAGTTTGGAACTTTCAATGAATAGGAAATGAGGGAATGGTAGCAAAATAGTTGTCAGATAGGAATACAAATTTTTATTGATTTTTCATTCACCAAGTTTTTGTGTGAAACGAAAAAATTAAAAAATGGCGGAGATTCCCTCATTACGCGACCACTTAAGGGTTAAGTGTCTTCGGTAGGGGTCTATATTTTTGCGTGATTTTTCTTTTGTCTCAACAAATATTGAAGCACACCTGAACCCACAAACCAATGGATCTGAAGCGCCTGAACCATATCAAGCAACCTCACTTCCATATTTTATGGCGCGAGACCTTTGTGGTCTGGAACTTTATAAATTACGGTGGTGATTTTTCATGAAAACAATAGGAGTAGTCAGCCGACTTCTTTCTAATTCATCAGTTCTTTTCAAATTCTCTCAAATCATCATTAAAATCAAATGATCATATCCCAAATTATCATCGATTTTATTTACAAATGAGTGAATGTTCCTCCCTCTTACCTTTACATCAATACCTATCACAATCAATCATATTAATTAAATAATTATACAAATTCAATGACTTGATTCGACTAGATTCGTTTCCCCCCTCTCAATCCTCAATATTTTCGGTTGCACTGCAGACACTTGTGGTGAAGACAGACCCCTAAAAACTAAATAACACTGTTAATTCGTTCGATAGTCGTCAGTCTGCCTCCACTTGGTCTTTCCCTACGACTGGACAGCGACGCAGTCTAAAGACAAATGCTTCTCCATGCAGATCTTCAGGGACGAACGGGGTTCCTGCCACGTCTTCGCCATCTCCATGCTCTCGTTGATGCTGTTCTTCAGGACTCCGTGTTCCTCCGGCGTCCAAGCCTTCGGCATCTCCGGGCTCTCGAACTTGTCGGTCGAACTTTCTGATTTGGACGTCTGAGTCTCCTCCGGCGACCAGCCCTTGCCCATCTCCATTGAGTCAATTTTAGACAGCGCGGAGGAGTTCTTGGACAGGCGCGGGTCCTCCGGGGTCCAGACTTTTGCGAACATCATCCCGTTGGGGGATATGTCCGATTTTCGGGACCAGGAGAGGGAGTGAGAGATGAAGGGATTCCCACCGTAGCCTAGAACATAATTATTTTGGGGAGTGAGTGGGGATGAGGATTGTGTGACGGGGAAGGCATTCCCTCCCTTAAGCAGTAACAAAATGCCCCTAATTTTCCAAATTTTTGAACAAATTTCCTGCCGAAAGTTATCGATATTTTTACAAGTCGAAGCAGATTAATCTCCAGACGGCGATGATGAAGAGCAATGTGTTTTGGGTTCAAATAATATCAATCATTTTGAGCAGAACACTTGTTTGAAAATTTCGAGGCAATGGTGGCCTTCTGTTACCCTTTAATCAAGTCGCCTTTCGACTTGAAAACTCAAGCCGACTAGTCTCGGTACGAGCTCACGGGTTCACTGTTAGAAAAAATATATAATTTCATGGACAGTTGACTACCAATTTACAGACAGTGATACTGAACGCGATTTAGGGGAAAAAATCATGAACTTTCAGGTTGATCTGAAAATTCAGTAAAATTCCCGAATTTTAAAAAGTATGAAAACGAGAATTTCTTAATTTATTTGAATTTCCAATCTAATATCCCGTGTAGAAATTCAAGCTGGGATACGGCTGAACCTCCGTTCACGCGCTTGAACCGATCGCTAAGCCCCGGCTTGACTGTATAGCAAGCGGGGATTGAATGAAGAGATTTCTACACGAGATGAATATTCAGTGCCAAATTACATTGAATTTTCAGTGAAATCAGAAATTCTGTCCATAAACTCGACAAAATCTAAAAGATGGCTTAAAAAATTGGTTCTTTTCACAGAAATCGGATGAAGCGAATTGCGGGTAATCTGAAGAGGATAAATAATTTTAAGAGATGTTAAAAAACACGAGGTGGTGCCGCCGCCATCTTTGAACCCCCTTACGGCAGAAGGAGGGGGCATCCAAGCAAGATGGCGGCGCCCTCACCTGTTAATCACCTCGTATTCTTCAACTTTCATTTAAATTATTCATCCCCCTCAGATCGCCTTCAACTGGTTTCACTCACTTCCCAGAAAAGGAATGAATTTTTCAGGCTACCCTCCAGATTTTTTCATCCCATTTTGACTAAGAATTCACGCAGTTTTCACCGCATTTCAGGGTTCTCTTCTCTCAAGCCTTTTAATTTTCACCAAAAAAAATCTGATGGTTTTTGATATTTTCAAACAAAAAGTTGAATAGAATTTCCGAAATTTCTTGTTTTGCTGCCAGAACCCCAGAAAACGACTCTTGAATGAACCGGAAGTGTTCCATCGTCGACAAATGTTGTGTGATTCCCCCAAAATTACCATTGACACCTATTGTGCCACAACGGCCCTCGCCAACCCCCAGAATAACAAATCTTCTATTTTTCCTCAAACAATCTCATGCACAATTTTCGCCTAATTTATTCATATCATAGCGGTAGAGTCTTGGTACATAAGAAAATAGGGTATGTTCCCGCGGACTACTTCCATGAAACATTTACCCATCGACAACACGCGAAAGTCAAACAAAATGGCATGAATTTTACTCACTGTGAACTATCACTTTCTCGGAGTGCTCCCTTCCTGCGCATCTGGAGATTGTGCCACTGCCGTTATGAGTGTCACTACCTTTATCAGCCCTGACGAGTTCTGTCAGAAATGTTATGTAACCGATGGCAAGACGGAGGGTGTCGACTTTGGATAAGCGTTTTTCGTAGGGTAGAGTGGGTAAGTGTGCCCGGAGACCCTCGAATGCATCATTTATGTTCTGCATACGTCTTCTTTCCCGGAGATTCGCTGCTTGGCGCTGTTGGACTGCTTGACGTGGACGTTTTAATGTGGGCCCGTCTTCGTCCTCCAGCATGCAGTCGTGACTACGTCTGGGGGACAGTTGTTTTTCAAGAATTGGTGAAGATGTATTGCGATTACACATGCAAAATGACCGTCATTTTTCAGCTCGCGTTATATGTGGACGTCCGCATGAAAAGGGACCATTTTGTCGATATGGTGTTATGCATACTCTGATAATATTGATAACATTCCGCACATTTTGAGCCCAAAATGGTCTTCATAGGGTCAAAAATGACGTCGTTGGAGAAGATAGAAAAAACAATTTGACACTGGTGCAAATGGGAGTTTTAATCTTGCGACCCTCAACTTGACCTGCATAACCCTTAATCCGACCCTTGTGGCCCTTACTATAACCCTCGTGACCCTTATGACCCCTATGTTGACCCTCATCTCCCTTATTCTGACCCTCATGACCTTTGCAACCCTTAATTTCGGAGTCTTAATTTCGAGTAGCAAATCTTTATCACCAGAAGTCGATTTGGATTTTTATAATATAGAGAGATATGAGAGATAGAGAGATGTTTCCTAGATCCAGATAAAAACGCCAGTAGTTAAAATGAAATACTCGTTCGGACACTGGCAATTACTGACATGCCATGATTCTTTGTCGCATGTCAGTAATTTCATTAAAATAAATACACGAGTCAAGTTCATTAATTTTCAACAAACATTATCGAAATGAATAGAAAAATGTCAATAGCACTTTTACTCGATTCAAATACTTCAGTTCTCCGGGTGCACAAAAAATGACAAATCATCTGCATTCAGTCCAATAAACAAGTGGGTCAATAAATGTGTATGTCCACGTGAAAAGGGCCCACTTTGTCGCATCTAGTTTCCGAGATATTCACGTTTTTCTCTCCACATCTCCCGTTTAAACCAATGTTAAATTGTTTTTTCGATCGTCTATACTGACGTCAGTTTTCATTCTATCGGTTTGATTTTGGGCTCAAAATGTGAGAAATCTGATCAAGAAAGTGGGCCCTTTAAGTGGACGCCCACAAATAATCGAATAAATGTTCAACTTACTTTCTGGAATGTCCATCCCTCGGTCGAATTTCTCGATCACTGCTGTAAACACTCTCATCGTCACTACTATTCTCATCAAATGGATAGTGTTCACTGCAATTGGAGCTCCCGGTGCTACCGGGAGGGTGCGAGGGCCCTATCTGGGGTACAATCGGCGACAGAACGCTCGCCGTCGGTGGACCGCAGTGCGGCGGTATCACCGGATTGCCCAGGAACGAGTGGGCGTCGTAAATGTAATGCCTGTTCATCATGTCAAGCTCCAAATTGTCCATCGAGTACATCATCTCGACAATTTTCGGTGAAAATACAATACAAACTAGAAAAAACTCTCACCAATGACTAGAATTTCCGACTAGATCGTTTCCTATCTCTACATTTATCGACCTCACATGGTCGTCCTGATTATTCAATAATTGTTCGATAATTGCATATTGATTTTTTCGTTTCTATCTATTTTCAATTGATTTTAAAATGGGATAGTTGGGGATAAGCCTCAATTTCCGAATCAAATCTCCTCTCCGGGACACTTGAGCACGATTGGGGTGATCCTCACTCCTGATAGGACTTGGACACGCGTCAGGTTGATACTCTCAAAACACTGGCACGTGTCGTCACGCCTGGCACGTGCTGATGATTATTAAGTACTTGTAGCACTTGCAGAAAATTCCAGGACATTTGTCTTTCGTTCACTTCAAAACATCGCCACAAGGGGAATTTCACTAGTTTAAAAAATTATTCGTAATGATTTTCAAGACTTACTCACTCATATTCTTGGAATAATCACTGATCACTCCATCGAATAATTAAGTAAATTATGTTAAAATTAATTTTTCCAATTTAAAGCAGTAGTCGGATAAATGATTCTGATCATTTTATTTGAAATTTCAATTAAATCGATTCTATTTTATTTCTATTTTTACATTTTTTTGGTTTTATAGTTGGAATTATTGTAGAGGGTTTTACGTGTCTGAAGATTTGTACTAGTTCTTCGAATGTCGATATTAATAATTTTATTATGATGTGCGCCCGTGTCCACGCGTTATCGTTAAGCGAGTGGCACTAGTGAAGTGGGAAAAGACGGGGAAAAGCTCTAGCTGGGGGCCCTCGGGGTCGAGTCAGCCGCAGTTCCAGTGTTCGTCCAATGGGTGGATGGCAGGGGCGGTTCTCCTCTACTCCCGGAGTTCAACGGGGGTGATGTTACCGCCTATTCATCGATCTGATAAGGGATGCTTTCTCGTGAAATGCAAGGGGTGATGATAAGACGGGACTCAGTGGACGAAAAATCGCGGTTTCGGGACGAAGATTTTTTTTTTATGGGGGGATCGACCTCCTATCCTCAGGTCGAATTTTAGAGGTGCCATTCTCGTGGCTTGGCGAGGTGTTGAATCGACGGAATGTGAAGAAATGAGTGAATAGTTCGTAAGTTTGGACGGAATGCCTGCACTTCCATGGTCTTCACTGTTAGAAAAAAAAAATTGATGTTCTAATGTCACTGAAAATTTTGGGAAATTACTAATATTTGGACAGCAGGAAAACAAGAATTCTCCAATTTACTTGAATTTTTAATAGAGATTAATATTGTGTATCGAATTTCGCGGAATTTTATCCATCTCTCTGTATTATAAAAATGAAAATGGAATTCTGGTGATAAAAATTTGGTATTCGAAATTAAGACTCCGAAATTATGGGTCAGGAGGGTCGAAATAAGGGCTACAAGGGTCTGAATGAGGGTCACGAGAGTCAGATTAAGGCTCACAAGGATCTGAATAAGGGTCACAAGGCTCAGATTAAGAATAAGGGTTATGTGGGTCAGATTAAGGGTCCAAATAAGGGTCATCGAGGCTAGAAACTAAAGGTCATAAGGGTCAAAATAAGGGTCTCAATCTCTCTTCATATTGAGTTCATATGTGTGTTGTAAAATTTTTCTTCAATTATTCGCCAATGAATGGATGGCATTGAATTTTTTTTTTCAAATGTAGGTAATGTCGAGCCCAATCGATTGCCATCAATTGAAATTTAATTCATCGATTAGTTTTTTTAATTTTTGAATTTTTTCGAAAACCGGTTATCCCAGGTGAAAATTTGAGTGGACATTGCGGGAATTTGTTTGTCTGAAACAAATTTCATTGGCAGGATTATTTTATTTCTCAGTGCACAACACTGAATGTGGCAGTTAGTGACCTCCGCAGCATGTGCTTCCCCCCAACTCACAACAAAATTATATCACGAGGGCGATTGGCAATGGAAAGACCGTTTTTATGAAATGTTCATTCTACTCAACTCATAATTACAGGTTTTACTTCACCAGCCAAATGTCACCAGTGCGGTTGACCCGTGTTGCACACGTGCCCAGTCACGTGCACACAATGTTCACCATCAGCTCGCGTAATTTTATCGAGTCTGAAATCTGGGATCGGTATCAGAATTGCCGTGATTGTGTAGTGGAAAGTAATTCCGAAATCAATGCCTCATAATTTCTCGTGTTTGAGATGAGCGAGGCGTGATAAACCGCGTCCAGATGGTTCACACGTCGGATAAACAGAGTCCCATTACCTGGGACTGTTCCAGGTCTGTAATTACCGGGAACACAGCCAGAGGTTTTTCTCACTCCGAATGGAAAATGGGGGGATAAATTACTGATGCAGGCTCTTCGGTGCACGCGATGAAAATTGTGATCCCCTCGGGTGGATGAAAGCAACTGCGGGAGGAAAAAAGTGGAGGGAATAAAACCGAGATAATCGCGGAGACATTATTTTACGAATGGACTATTGCAGATGAGATCCCGCGCTCTGATACGCCCGACGTAATCCTGAATGAAAATAATGGATCGGCCTCCCTCCAGGTCCATTGTCCTTCAAAGTACGTCGATGCGGAGGAGAAAAATTATTTTTCAATTATGAAACGTTGAATGTAAATTTCAGAATTATGAGAATAAACTGTTGAACTTTTTTTAATTGTGGAAATCGGGAGATCGGCAGAGTGACATTGGAAAAATGATATCTCATTCTCAAGATATTTTTTCAGTCTTCACAATGAGCGCAGATTCATCCGAATCGCATCGTTTGCTCCGGATAAATCGGAGATGTAAGAAGTAAAAAAATCGAAGTAAAGTAATTTTGCGAATGCTATTGCGGATGAGATCCCACGCTCTGATACGCCCGACGTAATCCTGAATGAAAATAATGGATCGGCCTCCCTCCAGGTCCATTGTCCTTCAAAGTACGTCGATGCGGAGGAGAAAAATTATTTTTCAATCATGAAACGTTGAATGTAAATTTCAGAATTATGAGAATAAACTGTTGAACTTTTTTTAATTGTGGAAATCGGGAGATCGGCAGAGTGACATCGGAAAAATGATATCTCATTCTCAAGATATTTTTTCAGTCTTCACAATGAGCGCAGATTCATCCGAACGTCATCATTTGCTCAGGATAAATCGGAGATGTAAGAAGTAAAAAAAATCGAAGTAAAGTAATTTTGCGAATGCTATTGCGGATGAGATCCCGCGCTCTGATACGCCCGACGTAATCCTGAATGAAAATAATGGATCGGCCTCCCTCCAGGTCCATTGTCCTTCAAAGTACGTCGATGTGGAGGAGAAAAATTATTTTTCAATTATGAAAACAAATCGTTGAATTGAAATTCCAGAATTATGAGAACAAACTGTTGAACGTTTTTTAATTGCGGACATCGCGAGATCGGCAGAGTGAAATTGGAAAAGTGACGTCTCATTCTCAAGATATCTTTTCAATCTTCAAAATGAACTCGGATTCATCCAAATCGCATCATTTGCGCGGGGCGTATCGGGGATATAAGAAATTTTGTTTTGTGTACTCTCCCTTATTCAGCTTTCAAGTAAAATAAAAAAACTTTCTTGGTAAATAATATGATATCCCTTACATAAGAGTGATGTAGAAAAACATGGGGATGAATTTTCCACGGTACCCAGCCCCCTCCCTGTCAGCCGCGCATCCAACACCTGGTCCCAGTTCCAAGTGTCTATTAATTTCTACTCAGCGTGAGTGTGAAATCGATTTAGTTACCCTCTCGAACCGAGGGCTTTCACACACTCCCCTATAATCATCTGGACCAGAATTGTATTTACTTCTAACATCCCGAAAATTTGTATCAAATCCCGATAATTGTCTTCGGTAAATAATGAAGATCATCAGTAATCCAAATAGTGAAAAATTTCATGGAAAAATTTAGTGAATTCGCCAGAAAATTCTATTGAATTTCTATTCCGCTTATCACGTAATGTAATTATGATGTCTATATTTTTTTTTTATGTACTGTTATCTTTTGTTTATACTAATTGTGAAAAAAGAGAAATTCATTTTTTACTGTAATGAAAAAATACATTTACAACCTAATATTATATATAACCTATTATATATTATATACTATATGCATATGTATTTTTTTCTTTAATATTTTTCAGCCGTTAAAAAGCTAATATAGTTTTCTATAAAAAAATTAATAATATGGTTCTATAAAAAAAAACATATATAGGATAGTATATATCTATATAGTATATAATACACCTCCAAAAATAAAAAAGAAGGCAAAAGAGAAACGAAGAAGAAAATAAAGAAGATTATGACGATTCCGAATAAATTATTCAACAATTAAATTCTCATTGTGAAAAACTTTGTTGAAGCCATTCATTTTTCCTGCATTAATATTGAGATAAAAATTAATGAAAGTGAGAAACGGTAAGATTTTACTGATTTGGCATCCATGAGAAACAATACGCGCGCGCCCTGTTCTAGTTGAGGGAAAAAACAGCAAATTTATGTCAAGAAATTCCTTCAGAAAATGTCTTAATTGTGGACACATGAAATTCTACGGACTTTTTTTAAATCAAATTCGCGATCGCAATGTAGTGGTGGTAGCCACCAAGTGGTCTCTAAATTAACCACTCTCAGGGGCCAGCCAATGATATCACTGGCCTCTCCTTGATCTCATTGGTTGAGCCTCATCATTGGTTCCCTCCTAGGGATATCATTGGTTGGCCGCCAAGAGTAGTTAGTTCAGAGACCACTTGGTGGCTCTCACTTCGTGGATCTACGTTGCGATCGCGAAAAATTTCTATTAGCCATTTCGCTATAAAAAGCGCGCAGTAACGATGCGAAAAAAATTGATAGAATTTTGAACAGAAGTTTAACCGAAATCCCATACAATTTCCTATCCAATTCTTTAGATTTTGCGCGACTCGCTTCAAATATTCCGAAAAATTAACCGTTTACAATTCTTCCCTTTGAAAAAATGATAAATACAATGGGCGAAAAATCGCGTGTCGTGATAACAAATCGATGGTTGGGGGAGAATGAGGGAGAAAAATAGGGGCTCCGGTGCACGAAGTGTTTTGGGGGTCGCGCCCTCTCTCGCTTGGGGGTCCTTGAGGGATAACTCACCCTGTGGGTACATCCCCCACATACCGGAAATAGTGCATGCAGACCGGATGCAAGGATAGGTATTAGACAGGTGCTTCGCATTACGAGAGGAGTTTACGACGGGAGTTCACGATTGGTCAAGTCATCCGTGTAATTTTTTCGATTTTTTTGCATCATAAATTCAATTTCTGGAAAACCCCGATGACTCTTCGTTTTTTCAAGCATTTTTCGTCGTTTCAAACCCAACCTCCACCAATTTTTCCCATTTTTCTTCCGAATTTGTCTTTGAAGCGATGTAAAATAACGATAAAAAAAAAGAATTTGACTTTCATCTTTTTTACAAATCAATAGAAATCAATTTTTTGTCATTGTTATGTCTCAAATTATTGTACAAATATTATTGAATAATATAATTGCGAAAAAATTAGGAGTCAGCATCGTATTACAACACGAGACTGTTTTGTAACACGAAACGAGCCAAGTGAGCCACCATTTTCAATAAAACAGAGATCACACTGGACTCGATGGTTCATAATCGACTGAGCTCGTTTTGACTTCACTTTTAAACGTCTTTATATTTTAGCCTTTGTATCGAAGTAAATTGTTACTCTTTAGTTACAAATAAATAAAGTATTTTAAATTGCTGAGATTG